AATAAAACATCAATCACTTTCTGCTCCACTTCTTTAGTTGAAGAGACGGTGGTCACTCACGTCTTGTCCTTATGTTACCCATTATATGACCCTGCACCTTTCACTGTGACCATAACTTCAAAAAATCAACTTAAAAGATACATCTATTGTTCATTTAACTAACTTGCATGTTTTCCTGTCTTTTACCACACATGCTGCCTTTGTTATTTTCATCTCCTACAGTTTTGCCATTTAGTTTTTGTTTTTTTAGTTTTTTTTTATAATGCTGCCCCTTCTTTCTGCTCTCGTACTCAGCAATCCCACCTTTTGCTCTTTGTCTTCCCCCCTTATATCTTCCCTTCCACCATCCCTCAGCCTCCCTCGCTAAAGGCCTAGCCAGGGGAAATGAAAAGTAGATGTGTTCTGAGGCAGCACAGTGTGGCAGCGGGAGGGGAAACTTCTCTTTCATGGTTTTATTTATGGATCTGTAGATTTTCTGACAGTGTGCACATCACACTCACACAGGGACAGAGGGAGAAATGAAGAGCAGCCTGATGTGAACTGCTGCTAGTACCCCCAGTAGAGCCTCAGACTAGTAATAAGGCAGAAGAGCAGTCAAACACACACACACACCTACTGAAAGTATATGGACCGATATGCATATCTAAATCCTGGAAATGTATATAAGTACCTTTCATTCGTCCACTCAACCTCACTCTCAAACCAAACACACGGACAATGCCTCGTCCCCAACAATTATTTTTAATATCAGTCTCTGTGTTTTTTTTTGCCGTCTGTTTGCATGTTTTCCCATCGGCTGATTGCCCCTACATCCCCAGGACAGATGAGTTTTCTTATCTGAAGGTCGACTTGAGCCGAAAAACAGCGTTTGTCACCTCGCACTCTTAAGACCCAGCAGCATTAAATGGAAGCAGCTATCATTGCGGAGCAGATGGTGCTAACATGGCTAATGCACATCCCGGCCCTAGCATCAGAACCAATGACAAGCCTAAGATGTGAGGACGAAAGAGGCAGATAAAGTGAATGAAACTGCTGCATGGAAATCACGCAGCCCTAGTTTGTATTAAGCTGCATCTCCTTGCTGGAATCACACAGCCATGCGTTTCTCGGTATTAGTAATATTTGAAGTTTCGCTTATATAAAATCCATGAGTTTGCTACCGCAAATCAAAGTGATATCGTGTTGTTATCATCCGTAACAAAGTAGCTTTGATATAACGAGTGTTGTTATGTATCACGTGTTGGATTTGTTCCCCCTGTAGTGAGAGGATTGTTTTTTCGTTTTAGTAATTTGAACAAATATGATTTATAGATGATGGTATTCTCTTTTGGAACAAAACCGTAATGAAAGTGCAGTGTTTTGAAGGAGGGGGGGGTCTATTAACTAACAGACTGAGTTTATTTTGCCTCTCTTTGGAAAGTCATGTTTGAAAAAAAGCTGCCGGTTATGTATTCCAACAAATAACTCTTTTCAATTAGCCCAGCTTTATTTTAAATTTGTGTTTTTGCTTTTTGTGATATAGTCTCCCTACTGTGATACAGAGAGCATTCAGATTTAAATTATTCCAAGCCTTGAAACAAGAGATCACAAATTTTGGAACGGGATCGAATTCAGTCGCAAAGAGTTTAGAGGAGATCGTCTGACAAAGAAATCTTTGTGGATGTGCCGCGGTGTCACCTGATCTGGTTATTCTCTGCTCAGACTCTGTGGCAAAGCTTGGTCGTCCAAATTCGATTTGTCCCAGACAGACCTCGGCCCAGCCGCGAAGCATCCTGTTTTTCAGTACTCGAATGCTCCTCTAATATCAATCACAGGTTACACCAACACACACCCAAACAGTGTCTGCCAAGTGACCTCCGAAGTGAAACCCAGGAAACAGCCAATAGACAAAGTCAATTGCCACGTGTGTGCTGCAGATGTTTCACTGAAAACACAAAGCAAACAACACACTCGCTGTGGCACACATTAAGTGTCAAAGATATACCTCAGTTGTTGGTCATAGTAAGTCTACACACCATTTAAACGGCTACATATTACTAAAGAACTGAACTGAATGACACTGAAAGGAAATACTTCCTACTGGGTCCCGTGCACGGAAAGCAAAGTCTGTGTTCCCCACCACAATGTAATTTTCCTGTCAATTACCAATTTCATCCCTCATTATAAACGATCGGTGTAATTCCCGTGAATGAGCGGAGTCGTTAATGAGAAGATGGCCAGCTTTTGCTCACCCCCGCGCTGATCAGCGTGGCCACACATCTGAATACTACCGGCACCTGCTTTATGTCTCCAGATCTCAGCGTGAACAGATCCCAAAAAGGAACCTCTATTGCTTATTTTAAAAAAACCTAAATGGTATATTTAGATAGATGCCATCCCCTTAAAGTGGTGCTTTGCCGGCTCCTGAAGTTTCAGTGTTGGAATATGCCTCTGCCTGCACCTTCAGCATGTCCTGCAAGAGCCTCTTCTACAGAACACCATGATGAGGCAGAAATAGAGCAGCAACAGTCATCTCTATCTCTCCGAGATGGCCCCGGCCACCCATAATTCCCCTCTCTCTACCTGTCCACTGCAGCGTTGAGTGCCTGCGAGTCGCTCCTCTCCTCACCCGCCTCTCTCCCGGGTAATTTGTTGTGTAAATACAGCCCTACTTACAGGAGACGGGCCCTTTCAGCTGCGGCGCTGGAAATGCAATTACAGCCAGCAAACATCTCCATTGTTATCAGTGGAGGATGCAACGCTCATCGCGGCCCCCCTCAGCAGTCAGGGAACGGGGTAGGGGGGTGGGGGGGGGGTATTGATCACTATCAGCTTCGAGGAGGAGGATTACTAATGAAGCTATTTGAAAGCCTAGTGTGATTAGTAAAGTTAGCATGCTCATATAAGTGT